TTTATACTCAATTACTTCTGAATGAAGTATAAGGATTTTTAAATATTTTAATACTACTATATTATCATTCATATTACTATTATTTAATAAACCGGAAGATATTTTTGCATGTGTGAGGTTGTATGCTCTGTTACTGTGAAGATGCGAACACTTACACAAAAGAACGTATCTATCTAAATATATAATTGAATTCAGATATATATTATATAGATTTATATAATATGGATATAATAGATGGCAAAAGTTTCTTCAGGATTTTCTTGTTTTATATGGCATAAAAATTACACCAATTGTTAAACGATACAACTTTTATTATTCTTTTATGTAATGTATCATTTTTTCAAATTTATCAAGTGTCCCTCTTTACATTGGCTGTGTGTAAAAAAATTGATAATAAAAAAATTATAACTTTATAAATATACACAAATTTTATCAGAATTTTCTTTGAAATTATATACGAAATAATTATCAAAGTAATACATTTATTATTGGCATTTATTACATAAAAAAAAAGTAAAATAAGAGGTACAAAAATTGGTGGCCAATTTTAATCTATACATGCGAATTACTGCAAAACTACTGGCTCTATCAAAAATGGTTCAGAGAAGAACTGAATGGTTTCAGGGGGAACATAATCTGGTGTATAGTTTTTCTGTAGATGGACGTGTAGAGGTCATATAAAGGTGACATGCGTTTTCTTAAATAGAATCATATAATTTTTAATGCATTAGTTGATACAGCTCTTGATTTCTTATAAAAAAGTATTAAGGTATTTATGTCGAAAAACCATTAGTTTAGGAAATATTTTTGTTAAAAAAAAAAAATCGATGTTCTGTTTCACAAATTCTTTAATAAAATAACACATGAAATGATATGATTGACTTCATCTCATTGCCCTCCCATGATTTTGTAAACAACAATGCCCACTGTCAATTCAGAAAATCTAGGTACAGATATACTGGTACTAGTACCATTTTACAATATTGAGACTAATATATCTTCTAAACCAAAGCCGCTTAACTTCTTGCTCACGAGCAAATTTCCTCTCCCGAGATTCCCCCACTATGCAGTACGACACGCAGAATGTGTAACATAAACCAACGGCAGTCGCTGGAGTTGTGGTGGGGACATCTCGCGTCCTCCTCCCGCCGCGCCGCAACACGAGTGAGACCATCTCAGTCGCATAGTGGAGGAACCTCGGGAGGGGAAATTTGCTCGTGAGCAAGAAGTTAAACGGCTCTGTTCTAAACTAATGGTTTTTCGACATAAATACCTTAATACTTTTTTAGAAATTATATGATTCCATTTAAGAAAACGTATGTCACCTTCATATGATCTCTACGCGTCCTTCTACAGAAAAACTAAGTACAGCAGATCATGTCCCCTTCAAAACCATTCAACTCCTCTCTGAACAATTTTTCATATAGCGAGTAGTTACGAGTAATTCCTATTTATAGATTAAAATTGGACACTCTGTATACATGTAAAAAAAATACTAATATCGTGTAAAATATTTGTAATAATAATACTCAACTCAAATTAATCGAAGAATGTCAGGAACATAAGTTTATGTATGTAAATATATTAATATTAGGAACTACCACTTTCTACTATTTCTTCTATTCGAATAATCACCTCTATCTGATCGTCCCAACTGTTTTTCGTTTGCTCGTTTCTCCTTCCATGTTTCGTACCTATCGGCCATATTATATACTTCTTCAGGGACTTCCTTCAAAGACAAAAATTTATATTTTTTAAAATTGTATTTTTATATATGTATATACGTAATTGTACTATAACATACTTGATTAGCCTCTTCCAAAATATTAATTAATTCCTTTGCGTGAGACCAGTCCCTCCTGGTCATAAATGTTATACTTTCTCCCGTGCGTCCAGCACGACCAGTACGACCAACTCGATGAACATATTCTTCTATGTCTCGTGGAAAATCATAATTCAGTACGTGCCTGAAAAAGAGTTTTATATTAAAAAAAATTTTAATACATTTGGACATAATTGTAAAACAGAATAGAACATACGTAATATCTTCAATATCGATTCCTCGACTAGCAACATCGGTTGCAAGTAGTATTTGAACTTCACCAGTTTTTAAATCTTCCAATGCCTGTTCTCTATCGCATTGTTCCCTTCCTCCGTGTATACTTTGACAATTGACACCTTGCAAAGCTAAATCACTCGCTATGTCATCAACCCTGGACTTCTTTCCAAAAAATACCATTACTTTATCAGTGGGAGCCATTTCACGGAAAAATTGATACATCTATTAAAACAAATATATTGAATGCTTAATGTATCCCATTTTTTATAGGTATTATTGGAAGTAGTTTTCGTTATATTAACCATATCAGTTTTTTCTGTTTCCTCAATGATATAAATTTTTTGTAATACTGTGTGTACAGTAGCTAAATCCAGAGATCCAACAAATACTTGTATTGGATTTTTCATGTATGATTGAGCTAGGCGTCTAACACCTTGAGGCCAAGTAGCACTACAGTGTGAAAATACTATCATTATTTTCCATTATATAAAAAATATTTTTTTTATATTTTTGAATAAAATATTTGATGTACCTTGTCATAACTGTCTGTCTATCTGGTCTTATGTCTAACAAGGTTTTTCTAATTTGTGGTTCAAATCCCATATCAAGCATACGATCAGCTTCATCTAACACGAGGTACGTGATCGAATTAAGATTTAAAATATTCGACTCTACAAGATCATTTAGCCGACCGGGTGTTGCAATAACAATCTCCACACCTTTTGTTACCACATTAACTTGCTCTTTACGACTTCCACCTCCGTACAAACATACTCTATAATGATATTGTATTTTTAAAAGTACATCTTTAAAAAATCTTTTAGGAAAATATTTTAATAAAACTTACGCCTTGAAACCATGATAAGAGTATTTGTTTACTTCTTTTTCAATTTGTAATGCCAGCTCTCTAGTGGGAGCCATAACGAGAACATTGGGACCATTTCGTTCTGATCTTGGTATTGGTTGGCCCTCAATATGAATCAAAGCAGGCAGTAAAAATGCCAAAGTTTTTCCTAAATATATCAATTAAGTACAGAGATCCTTATACATTAGATGATATTGTAGTCATATTAAAATATACCTGTGCCAGTTTGAGCAATTCCAATAAGATCTTGACCACTAAGAAGAATAGGCCAAGCTTGGCATTGTATTGGACTTGGTTTGGTAAATCTTTGTTTTCTGATTTCTTCAAGTATTTCAGGGAAAATCTGTAATATTTACATTAGAGTAATTATATTATTTAAAAAGTATCCACTTAAATACCTTTACTTACTTCAAAAGCCTGTTCAAATGTCTCAATAGGATTAGGTATACTAGATTGTTCTGTATCATTCCCTTGTTCATCAAACATATATTTCACTTCAATATTATTGTTTGTTTTCCTGATATTGGCTACTTGTTCTTTTGTCATGTTAGCAACTGCTGGATGTTCTTTATAAAAGTTTTTGATAACAGGGACACATTTTGACCACTTTTCTTTTCTAAATTCATCCTAATTAATAGATAACAATTCATGAATAAACAATTGTATCAAATTGATCTCATAAAGTTAAATAAACTTACACATTTTTTGTTAGCTTGAGACCAATCAAATGCTACAAAATCAATTTGTGGTTTATCATCTTGTTCCTTTTGCTCATTTTCTAATCTTTGTGATGGATATGAAAAATCGTTTAAAGATTCTTCTATTAGACTCTTAGCTTGTTGTTGTCCTTCTTTAGATCCAATTATAGTTACAGCAGTAGTATCATTTCCACTGGATCTATCAATCTATATTAAATAAATTCCACATTACTTTGTGCATTAAATTAAATTCCATTCTTATAACATTTTATATATGTAAAAATTCATATTTTGGGTTTTCTATTCTATTACCTACCTGTACTCTCTCTTTATTTATGTAAACCAACATTAGTATAGCTGGCATATTATAAAAAGATGCATTTCATTTTTTGATTAAGAATTTGCATAAGTTGTTATTTTCTACTTTAAATAATATAATTTTTTTTTTTAATTATCTCAAGTAATCACTCCACAAAGACATCAATTAATAAAAGATATTCTACTAATGCTTACATGAATTTTTGTACTTGTTTTATCTTGTAGGTCTCTAATATTACTTCCACTTCTACCAATTAATCTTCCTACTTTGTCAGTACTAATATGTATTATTAGTTTTTCAAATTCATTGTTAAAATTATTATGAGAATTTGAATATTGATCTGCGTTTCTAAATGTATTACTTCTGCGATATTTTCCTCTATCGTTAGATTTTGAATATGATTGTCTTCCATAACTTTGTTGATAATCCATTCTGCAGTCACAAACATGACAAACATATACATATATGATATACAGGTATCTTAATAATAAGCAATTCTTAAAAGTTTGTAAACGATTTATTTCTACATAAACGTTTCAGTCCACGTAAAATAAAATATAAATATTTTATCTTTAACGACTTCTTAATATTTTTAATACCTTTCTATAATACCACTTTCTGATGATACTGCAAAAATTAAGAACTTAATCACAAGGATACCGGCAAGTCACACGGTTGTTTTACCTTTAAGTTGTTGAATTTATGATAAATGCTTATTTAGTATTAGGTGGCGACACACGTGGCATTAACCTAAACTTTGATCTAGTTATGATTAAGGAACGTTTCCACAAAACAATTTTTTACAATTTACGTGAATTTATTTAAAGGTAATTCAATTACAAGTAATTTATTTATTATTATTTTAGAAGGAAATATTTGTTATATTTACTACATTTATTTTGATAGATGAATTGCAGTAGAGTTGTATGTTCATCGAAATAAATAATATACATATCTACTACTATATCATTCTATACTAATTTCGTATGTTTCGTATGCAAGATATTCATTTTTTCTTTAAAAAAAAATTATTTGATACAGAAATATACATTTAATAACTCATATGTTTTGTTATGTTGAGAATATCTTATATATCTAAAACAATGTATAAAAATTGTATAATATTAGAGCGTTAAATTTGAGGTTAATTACTAAATGAAATTATTAAAAATATGATAATAATCCACGTATCTGTGAGATTTAGTAATGAAAGATTTTATTTATATTTAGTATAGCTTTTATTTGTATTAAATAAGTATATTGAAGTTAAAACAAGTGATTGGCAGAAATTAATAGAAATTAAACTATCATTAATTTATTTAATATTTTACAAACAGGAAGGTAGAATTGTAAATCCTGTTACATTGTGTAAACAATATCACTAAAGGGGCAAGTATAATGCAATGCCTCCAATGTATTATAAGATTACTGGAAACGTTCCATTAGCTAATTGATCATCCCATTTCTCTATCCAAAAGTTTGGACACATTGCAGAGTATACTTTCTTGAAATATTTGCAAGCCTCATAATCTTCACCATGATGCATTTTGCAACGTTGAAAGTCCACATAGCTAGTGAAACAATATCTGCATTTGAAACAAGCACAAATAAGTAATCTCATACTACAAGTTTATAATCATAGAATAAAATATCAACTCATTCCTTTTTTACCTTGTCTGGTTTTGATTTGGGAATCGTGGGTCATATGGTGCTGTGCATGGTTTCAATTCAGGGTTAACTGCTATTGCTGCTGGACTTCCGTACTCTGTGTATTTTACCATACTGTTTGCTGCTTAACAAGTTACAATTACTTAATCTATTATATTTATTGAAAGTGCTACAAATGTCACCCTCCCTTTTTCCCACAAGGCAAACTCTCTACATGTTTGTCTCTCGCTTTAGTCCGTTTGTCTCTTGCACCACTTAACACACTATCACAAATAATAATTGCTTCTTCACTACAGTCCTTTTTCATTCTCATATTACATTAATAATGCTCTTTAAGTTGAAATACTTAATAATTTGGTACTATGTATTCATGATTCCTGATTAACATGTATACTCTATATAGTTATTGAAAAAAGAAAGAACTTTTTTATGTTTACATACTTTTCTGTTTAGCATTTCTTTGTTCAAACAATAAAATGCTTCACGTCAAAGCCTATTTGAATTTTAGAGAATTTTAGTACAAGTGAAGGTCTTTAAACTTGGTTGGTATAGCTGTTCTTCTATGCTTAAATGCAATCATGATGTAATTAAAAGAATACAGCATCTTTTAAAGCACATTCATTGTAGATAAAACAAAGTAACAAAATGGAAAATAGTGAAACTAAAAATCAGCTATTTGACCAATGGTCTTGTGTTGTCCTCTTCTTGACAACAAACTTCTCTGTATTTTTTTACTTCCGCCATGTAGAGTGACCAAGCATCCTTGGGTTGCTCAACAGTTTGTTCAGTCTTTGGTTTAGCAACCATTCCAGTTTTTAAAATTCTCCCTCCTCGCCTCTTTCCCACCATTAAAGGTGGAGGAACTACAGTTTTTTCCTCCAAAACAGAAGTCGTCGGTTTTTGTGCGGGTTGCATTTGTTCTTGCATTTTTTTGAACATTTCCATAAAACTACCATCGTTCTTGAAAGCGTTAGACTGTGGAGGAACAACTGGTTGTGGTGTGGTTGCTTCAGTATTATCTTCAGCAGTATCCGATTCATACGATGGTGCTCTATGGTACCTACGGCTTTCTCTACCTCTGTGTCTATCCCTACTCCTATTGCGACTACGGCTGCGTCTTCTATCTCTAGAACGTGACCTTCCTCTTGATCTAGATCTTGATCTATCTCTTCTAGAGTATTTTCGCGATCGGTCCCTATCCCTATCTCGGTCTTTATCTCTATCAGGGGATCGAGATCGTTTATGTGATCTACTTGGAGGAGATTTTGAAGTACTGCGTCTTCTTCTACGTCTATCCTGTGGTGAATCATTTCGGGAAGTTCTACTGCTTCTATACTCCGAAGGTGATGGTGAACGACGTGACGACATTCTGTTTTTGTACCCATCATACGCTGTATAACTTGCACTATAGATAGGAGGCGAAGGTGGAGCAGGTGGTGAGTCTGTATTGGACTTGGAGCTGCGTTCATGCCGCTTTGATTCCATTGTTGCGCTTGAGTGCCTCTCTCGCCAGGCTGAATGGACAGATGGACACCTATAAGGATAGAAACTGCCTTCTATGAGTACACCGCCCATTTCTTCTTATCACGCCTTTATCTGATTGGTTTTAAATGTACGCGTTTGCAAGAGACAAGCAGATTTATAGCGAGAGATCAAAACATATTTTAATTGGCATTAACATAAAGAGAGCCCAATCGAAGCTAGGATTTATTAACTTTAACAGTTTTTGAATGTATAAATACGTCTGGTTATTTAATACTTAACAACTTAGAATATATACAATAGAAATCCAGCTTTGATTGTATACCTTTCTACACACATTTCACTATTCTAGCATAAATATTAATTTGTAATGATTATTGTATTTTTATAAAACAAAGTTCTGCATTGTTATATAACTCTACAATACTTATACTGTACTGTATTGTGGTGGAAATATTAACAATATTTTCAGATATACTGAAAATTGTATTGTCCACGATAATTAATTTTAATCAACTGATAACAGTATGATATTTTATAGCACAACCCTTGTATCCATTTTTAGCAAAATATATGGATTAACATCTGATGTTTTAAGAACATCGTTTATTTAAATTATACTTGCGACGTCGATAAGAAGGTTCTTCAAAGATTTAGTTATGTTAAATTGCGATTTAATATATTTGATACATAAGGTATACGATTTCTGTTTCGATATGATACTCCGAAAAGAGAAATCGACAAAGCGAAAACCAATTTCGCAATTCTAAAATGATAATTCCACACGTTATACAACATAATTGTTAATAATTTGGTTTTTACTGAGATAAGTTATTAAAAAAAGGGCAATAGGGGACAAAGAGAGAGATAGAGATAAAAGAACACGAAATTTGATAGAGAGCCCTTACCCGAAATTAAATAAGATTTTCAATTAGTGTATAAATTAGTTTTCACGAAAATATAGATAAAGTTTCTTTAAGATTTTCTTAAATACTTTGTCGACTATATTAGCTACCTAAATAGCTTATAATTACACGAAATATCTTTATATAAAATACCTTAGTCAGCCGTGCGATTGAAAACAAAATGGCCACTAGGCAAACTGCGTTAAACTGTTACGTCATGCATGTGTGTCTAGGACAGAGTTAAATCTGATTCTGGGAGGATGTGCTTTTGGAGTAAAGGACGTACTTTTAATTCGCTCCGGTAGAGTTCGCTCATATTTACTGGCAGACTCATTCGGGTCTGTATTAAAAAAAATCTTCCTATCGTTACAAAAAAAATATATGATCAAGTTGTTTAATATTATGAAATGTTGCAATTAATTAATGAATAATTGTCTATTACTTATTATTTAAATT